CTCATTGCGGCTGCTGGCCGCTCACGCTGGCTGCTGGCTACACACGGTAGCCCATGGCAACCCACTGCCACAGGGGCTGCAACCTTCGCCGTCGCCGTTGACTCATGGCAGCCCAGCTCCAGGTTGAACTGTTGTTCAGCATCTTAGCTGTAGAGGGCAGTGTCACGGGCCCTCATATGCGGGATCCGAACCGGGGCCCTCTGGCGTCCCAAGCCAGCTCTTAACCATCGCGCCACTCGGCTGGACCCAAACAATATTTTTATTTGAAGTTTAAAAGATTCATTTCTTTACTCTGGGAAAGAAATATGTTAAATCTGATTTAACCAACTCTTAAGATGGGGTATACAGCACTATAAGGGGGTTATGAAATGACCCAACATTTATTTTCAGTGGAGACAAACATTAAGAGATTGATAACTGATGAAAGAAATATTTAATGCTACGTTTTTCTTTTGAGAATTTCTCCAAGTTGCTCGACCAAAGAAGAAAACACAACCCAACCTGCCTCATTAGAGTGCAAATGATCAACTTAATCTGGAAGGATCTAGCATTTTAGCCACGAAGAGATGATGCTAATAGGGATGTTCTCGGTGTTACCACCCTCTCTCCTACCTCACTATAGGATTACCATGAAATTGAACAAGTCCTGTGAAACCCTCACTTTCCTCATCTGTGAAGCAGATAGAGGAGTATCCAACCCGGAGGGTTCTGAGGAAGACTAAGGACTGGTCCTAATGCTGGGCCCCGGGTACGCCCTCATTGCTATTTTATACTCAGGGCAGTGCAATACAATTCATTGTTATTTCTGATATCTAGATTGGGACCATAGATCTCTAACTGAAGACAAGCAGATGTGAGCAGATGTAGTTCAAACAAACAAAAAGGGAGAAACACACTTTTGACATTTCTATTTCCAGCAATCCATCAGATAACCACAGGATTTGGTATGGGTTTCAACCATTTAGTGAGATCCCAAAAAAAGGATGTCGTAAGGAAACTAAATCCAAGTTAAGTTATTTAAAACACTATTTGTCTCGTTACTTTCTATAATGTGTATGTATAACTAAAATCATGTATAAAATATTTAATGTGTCAAAACTTTAAAATAACAATATATGGATTTAGGTTTAATTATAGCTATATAGCTCTAAATGTATTTAAAAAGTAGAAGCTTCTAATTATAACAAATTTTGAAATAGTGCATTTGCTTAACTGTGAAATTTCTAAAAGTTCTCTTAGTCATATCTATTTTTAGACTTTGTAACACAATGGCCTTAAATTAGGATTATGAATCACTGCATTAAAAACTAGAGTATCTAAAAGAGCTGTTGTCTTGTAAATGCAGACAATGAAGCCCATAGAGCATAAGCTGTGCAGTCACCGAGTTAATGGTAACTATATATTTCAGTTAAAATTTTTCTTTGATCTCTATACTGTAATTATTAATAAACCTGAATCTTTCTAAACCATACAGCTATTAAAAATAACAATATTAACTATGCAGGACTTAGAGCAGGATTTTTCTTAATAGTCCAAAATTGGAAATAACTGAAATACCCATCAAAGTGAATGGATAAGCAAATAGCGGTATAACCATACATGAAAATAAAAGAAGAAAATAACAGATTATTGGTACTGTGTAAATGAACCTCAAAATCATGATGCTGAGCGAAAAAAAGGCACGCCAAAAAAAAAAAAAGGATTATTTACTGTATGCTTCCATTTAAATAAAATTCTAGAATAGAGGGATCTAATCAACAGGGACAGACACCTATCAGTGGTTGCCTGGAGACAGTGGTGGAAGGAGTGACAGATAATAAAAAGGCATAAAAAACCTTTTGTGGGTGATGGAACTGTTGATTATTTGGATTGTAGTGATGGTTTCATGGATGTATACGTAAGTCAAAACTGATTTTTTTAAACGTGTACACTTTAAATGTGCACCATTTGTATTTTAATTATACCTCAATAAAGTTGGCAGAGTAAACCTTATTATCCAAGCCTGTTTAATAGCTCCTTTTACACACACACACACACACACACACACACACACACACACAAAGTAAGTACATTACTATCTTGTAAAGTCAGGAACAGTGATTCCAAGGATTTCAAGTACTAAACAAGGTAAGTAACGAAAGATCTTCCGATTTATATCCTTAAAGAAGGTTTAATTTATTTTGAAATAGTGCTTCTTCAGTGCTTAAAGAAAAAGATACCAGAACTTAGAAGAATGGGTCAATCTACCAGGAATATAAGCCAGGTAAATGAGCTTCGGTCATTTCAATTTTCTTAAATGTTGGAAATGGATACTGTCATTAACTATGATTTAAATGGGTAGGAAACACCTTACGTTTCACCTGGAACATCTTGGCGTTCTAACAAATGTACAATTCTGTAGAATACACCTCGCATGTGAATTCACTCAGAAAAAGAAACTGTTCTAAAAGTGCCCAGAAGCAATGTGTGATATTTTCTGGACTGGAAGTCCCACTCATGGTCTGCTTAACTTCTGGAGGGCAGTGATTGGAAGAAAAAAAGCACTCAAACATTTGCTGAGTTTATTTTAGATTGGCCAAGATGATAGGTCACACTTGGCCGAAAATTTATTGTTAGTTCCAAGTACTAGTACTGACTAATCTAGTGCTTGTCAAAGTTGAGAAATGTACCGAAGGGTGAAAAAAATATGAAGAACCCGCACTTCTTAAAAATTTGCTTCTGATGAGTACAAATATAAATTTTGCTTATGACCTTTATTCAACTATTAACCAAATATTATTTTACAAATTGAATGCCTTCAAAACTATAAAGTCAGTAACATGTAAAATTAAAACTAATTTGACAGGTGATAATGTTTTGCTGAAATTAAATTGCCTCTCAAAGTGAATATGGTATGGACAGCTATGGTGCTGGTTTCATCTTTCGTTTTGTTTTCAAGTCCAGCACATTTCTAGGACTACGGGCCATATGATATCTCTGCTCCACTGCTTTTCACCTATGTGACACTGAGCAAGTTATCTGATTTCTCAGTTCCTTGGTTTTCTTGTCCATAAAGTGGAGACATATTTACCATAATTAACACCCAACACTAATAGCATTTTAAGTTCTTTACAGATACTAATTCATTTCATCATCACACTAGTGTTGTGAGGTGGGTACCACTTTTCACGTGGAGAACCTGAAGCTCCGAAACACACCCCTGCCCAAGGACACATCACCAGCAAGAGACAGTGGTAGGATTCCAATCCAGGCCCGCGTGGAACCACATCCCATGCTGTCTCTCATAATGTTGTAGCTGAAAAATAATTCCTAGCTCATCGAGGGCTAATAATTATGCCTGGCTCGTAATAACTTTCAATAAAAGTCGGCTATCGTTGTTTTCTCCTATCTCCCATTACTTCTCTTTGAGAGTATAGTGATGTCCCACAGACTTGACTCAATAAGAATGTATCCACATCCTGAGTCCATCTCAGTTCTTCTCTCATCTGCTTGGGCCGACAGAATCAGTGAAACACAGCGTGTGTGCACAGGTGCAACATAACATAGGATATACGCCCAGAAACACCATCGCACTAACCTGATTAAATTCACATTAATTCTCTTCTATTTAATCTTTAAAATAAAAACTGGTGGACATCCAAGAATATATCCAAGGATCCACCACCACTTGCCCCTTTCAGAGACCTACTTTATAAAACTACTCACTTGTTTACACTTTTAAAAGGACATGATAGCTCGGGACTGCTTAAAAACAGAATTTGCATCGGTAGTGGATTGTGAGTTGATCCTGTGTCTCCTGTTTGCCCAGCACAGTACCTGGCACACAGCTGGGACTCACATGTTTGCTGAATTGAATCCCACAGCCACCAAAGGCGGGGAGAAATTACCCAGAGACAGGCAGAACAGAAAGGCTGCAGTGCCAAATAGGTCAGTGATAACCGTGCAGAACAAACGAAGACACCAAGTCCCACAATTCCAGGCAAAGAACACTTATGACAAATATAGCTGTGACTTAAAATTGTTGCGATCAGATGGGGTGGGCTCAGCTCATCAGCACCTGTTGAATTCAAATGTGTTTTTTTTTTCTTTTACATTTAGACTCTCCTTGTCAGTATGAAGAATAAATCTGCCTTCTCTCTCTCTCTGGGGGTCCAGATTTGAGCCTGGCTACTTAGAAAGAAAGAAGACTGGAAACTGGGACGCCTTCATGCTGCAGTGCCTGTCCTCTCTGCCTGCCATTTGAGGACAGATGTGGCTTTCTCATTTTTGAGCTTAAAACAGCCACATTAACTCTGCCCACAGTCCCACGCATCCCCATCCCCGCGCCGTGGCTGCAGGAGAAGCCACGTAGTCACGCTGATGTCACCTGCCAGGTAACGGGGCTTAGCAGGGAACCCCTCTGGGACATCCACTCGGGAATGAGGGGAAAACATGGCTTCTGACTCGTCCCCGGGGCCTGCGTCTCCCTCCCTACGACCAGGAGCGGCGGAAGCGGGACACGCGTTGGGGAGTGGAAGAGAAAGCGCGATGAGAAGATCGCAGGCGTGCTAAGTGCGCTGGGGGTGAGTGGACGCCTAGCCAAACTCCTCGCTACTCTGCAAGTTCCTGCAACGGCGAGAAAGCCAGGGGGGCTCTGGGTGCAGAAACTTCAATGGGGCAAATTACAGAACTAGTTCTGTGTCCTAATAAAGAACCCTTCTCCTTAGTAGCTCCCTCCAACCCCATGCGGGGGGCGGGGACAGCCAAGGAATCCAGATCTTTCGGCCTCCGGAAGTCGAAACGGTCTTTTTAAACACCCGCTTAAGAACCCGAAACTAGGAGGCCACGGTCGCCAAGACAGACCGTGGTCAAAATCATCTGAGCAGAGCTGAAGAATGCACATCCCGGGGCCCACACCCCGGGGCTGTTCTTTATAGAGGGCAACGTGTTCCTTTCCAAAAGCTGATTTAAAGGACGAATCTCGCTGCAAGCTCCGCTCTCGTCCCGGCAGTGCTTCTCCCTCCCTACCTCTCCGCCCCCACAACCCGTCCCAGACCAAACGGAGAAATGCTATTTCCCGGTCCGGGCTGCCAGCCTTGCAGAACCGCAGCCCAGGGTCAGCGGGGCCAGGGGCGCCTCCTGGGCTCCGCCACGCCCCCAGGCCAGATTGGCAGCGCCTCCGTGGCAGCTCAGCACCCATACCTTTTCCGATGACTTCCAGCAGCTCCTTTTCCTCCTGGGTCAGCTCGCCTTTCTTTATGTGAACCATTGCTCCCGCCAGCTTGAAGGCTATTCTGATTCTTTGGGAGAATTAAAAAGTAACGATGTGTCTGTGTTAGGCACACCAGCCGCAGCGGGGCAACTGGAGACCAGAATACGGAGGAGACAACCACGGAAGCATTCGAATTCTCTCTTCTCTCCCGCGGGCTGGCGAGCAGCCGGCGAGCTCCGGCGAGCCGGGCAGGCGGTCTCCGCAGGCCCCAGCGGCAGTCACCGCCCCCTGCGCGTCATTGGCCCAGTCCGTAGGAGGAGCTGTAAGAGGAGGCATCCAAAGACTCCCATTGGAGCAACCTGGGAAGGAAAAAACAAATGGAGAAAACCAGAGGGGGGGCATTAAATTCCTCTTACCCGTTTCCCATTCCCATGCTGTCGGGTTCAGATATTTAGGGACACGCAATATTTAAATTCTCTATCTGTAAGTTCTGTGTCCGGCGATGGCTGCTTAGGGCGTGCAGA